AACAACAACAAACAATGGAAAGCAAACAAAGCAAATCAAAAGTTGAAAATACCTGAAAATGAAGTGGAAACTATAGCAGAAGATGATGCTGATATTGATGTTGATGTTGATTGATCTTCTCGTGGAGTTGATCGTTCTTGTGCGGGTTTTTTAAAAGATGTCACTAAATGAGTCGTCGTCGTGCCATATGGGATGGATGACAATTTTGTTGTTGTTGTTGTCGTTGTTTTTGTTGCTGGCAGCGTGGTTAAGGCTTCATAGAAAGAGGATGTAACTAGATCGGTTGTTAAGGCGTATGGTATGGATGATGATGAGCGTGACGCTAAATGACATAAGGAATCAAGATAGACAGTCATTGCAAAGATAAATGACCATGAAAAAATACGAACGAACGAACGAACGGACGAACGAACGAAAGAACGAACGAACAAACGAGCGAACTAACGCACGCATGCACGCACGCACGCACGCACGCACGAACAAGCGAACGAACGAAAATGCAATCAAATAAGACAAAACACTGGACAGCAATAATAATTCAGTAACCGTGCTATTGGTTCGCTATAGTGTGCATGAGTTAAACCACCACCAAATAACATAGGCCTTATTCACGCGGCAGACATGTTGGATCGAACAATAGATTCCACCACGCGTAGCCTCAAATTCAAGCGCTCGAGAATTAATTTATGTTGGGCAAACAAAGGTCTTTATTCTTTGTGTGATAAAAGTCCATTAAAACAAGCAAAGAGCGCTTGAATGAATTAATGAATAAAAAAGTGTAATCTTACCAAGAGAATATGAACTAAGAGAAGGAATCCTACCTATATAGTCTTGTAACCATCATGTGCACAGTTTGATACTATTTTTAGCTTGGAGATATTTTGAGCGAAGAACCTGATTGGTTGATTTTTTTGAGGGTAGGCGGCTTCTAGTCTTGCAGTAAACAAAAGCCTGTGTTTTTGTAGCTTTTCGTGTCCTAAAACGAGGCATGATTATCGCGCGGGCATGGTAACGAGTTTAAAATGATTCTAAAAATAGCATCAAAGTGTGCACATGATGGGACACGGGGATTCCTTCTCTTAGTTCATTTTCTCTGGATCTTACTTTTTTCACAGTATTTCCCTGTGAAGTATTTTGGACATCTACAGAATTTGAAGACAGACAGAAGTTCGTAACACGTTCCACCATTCTTACATGGATTTCGACCACTACACGGGGTCTGGAAAACTGAATAAATATGCGATAATAATYATTAATATTTATAATTATTAATTAATTGACAATAAATTAAAGTAAGGAAAGAAGAAAGAAAGGAAAGACTGGAGGGAAAGGCGAAGGATGATTGGATGGTTGGATTTTTGGATAGGAAGAAAGAGAAGGAAGGATTGCGAATATATGAGTGGATCCCATGAGTTACTGCCTCGTGACACAAGTGAAAAACGTCTGCGCATGCTCTGAATCCGTATGTAAATTACTCAAAACATATGTAAATTTGACTTTCAAACATGCCTGATAAATTGGACTTCACAAAATGCCAAAACTTAGTGTCCATGCTTGAAACTTAAGGTTAATTCTTTCATATTGTGTTTGTTAATGCAGTATATTGGTCTGACAAAAGTATACTCTCGAACTTTTTTGAATACTTGGAGAAAACAAACATTTATTTTTTCATTCAAACTTTTCAAAATTCTTAGAAAATGTGCTGAAGTGCACGCATGCGCAAACGTTTTTCTCTAGTGTCCTGCCTCGCAGTCCCACAATTAGTCTCCTACGCAGACGCTATTGGTGTCGTCACGCAACGCTTATAGGGGAGTAAGCGTTGCGTGACGACACCAATAGCGGCGTTGAAGGAGGCTATCCAATAATGTGATGCAATTTTTTTGTAATGAGTTCGCCGTTGCTCAGTCTTCAATGTGTCTTTTCTTTTATTGAGGTCCATTGTATAGTAAGGAATGTACGTACTACGGAACAATACGAGTTGATTAAAATGCTACGGGTTTTGGGTGAATAGCTGAATATTATAACACACAACCGAGACTAAGGCTGAGAATAAGAGAACTCGAAACTGCAACATTGTTATGTTTTGATTGATATTTATTTTCTTATTCATCAATTCTTTCATACATTCGTTTGTACTTACTGGTAATGGAAGATGGTGTTACTGTAGGAGTTGGAGAAAAAGTTGTCACGTGAGTCGTCAACCCAACGGGCCTTACTGTAGGCGTGGCTGATGATGATGACGATGATGACGATAAACAAGATGTTACGTGAGTCGTCAGCCCAACGGTTCTAACTGTGGGCGTGGCTGATGATGATGATGACGATGATGACGATGATGATGATGAACGAGTTGTCACGTGAGTCGTCAACCCAA